CCTTGTACCAGAATCCTGCACTCCTGCCCCCGAAGGACTACTTGCTGTTTTTTCAGTATAACACCCCTCCTATGCATGCTCTTGGGCCCATCTGATACCTGTTGCCACTGTACTCTTCAAGACTGCCTTACACACGCTCTCCACACCAAGCATCTCCCAGAGCTAGTACTGCCTGCATATCCTAGGGCTGAGAGTCTTAGCATCTCTTTGAAACGTTATGTGAAGGCTCAGTAAAACCTCCGGCACCTGGTGGGCAGTGCTGACTGAATGAATGGCATCTCCACACTAACTGTGCCTGTGTCCCTCTTTCAAAGGGTCAGTTACCAAGAAGTGTGAACTGCCCACTTCCAGATATGGCCTCTCTGTCATGAGCATATTTTTTTTTCCGTTTTGTGGGATGGACAAAGCCCAAGTACACAGCACCCTAATCTTTGGAAGGTAAGGGCAGAGGCAAAGCCCTTACACAATTCTGTAGGGCTGAAGAGGGGAAGGAGAAGGTGGGTAGAATGTCAGACAGAGGACTGGGTCCCCACCCAGTGAGTAAGACTATAGATCTGAGCGCAATACAGAGACAAAATGAAATTATGTATCCAAATACGACTGTAGAACAATGAAGGTGTCTGCAGAATCAGAGAGAGGGAGACTGCTATAAATAGGAACATTGGTTTCAGCCTAACGCTCACTGCATCTATTCTCATTAGGTTCGTTTAACTGCCGGCACTGCAAAGTTCTACAGAGCGCAGATGTTGTTTGTTAGGCAAAATCGTAGTTGGAGGCACCACGATGCACTGGAATTTGCCATCACTTAAGTTTGCGGAGAGTACAGTCACGTCTTTGTGTCCGAGGGCTATCCATCAGTTGTAGGAGTCCTGGGCCTACGCACACCAGCAGATGCTCGCGTTCCTTACATCCAAATGGCTCGAATGTGCACACAGTCCATACACCCTCCCCCCCCCCCCCGTGTACCTCAATTAATCATCATGCTATCTAGGGTGCCTTACACAGTGGGAGTGTTATAAAGTACAACAGTGCTCACCGCGTGTTTTTATTTGTGTTATTTTTTTGTTGTTGTTGCTGTTGTTTGACCTTGACTTTCAGCCTTCAAAACTATGAAAAATAAATTTCTTTTAAAAGGGTTTTTTTTTTCTTTTAAATTTTATTTTATGTGTGTGAGTGTTTTGCCTGCATGTCTGTGTGCGTGCCATGTTTGTGTCTTGTGCCTTCAGAGGTCAGAAGTGGGTGTTGGATCTCCTGAAACTGCAGTTTGTGGATGGTCGTGAGCCACTGTGTGGGTGCTGCGAACTGAACACGGGTCCTCTGCAAGGGCCGCAAGTGCTCTTACTCACTGAGTCATCTCTCCAGACCTGAAAAAACTAAGTCTTGTTGCATAAGACATCTAGTCTATACTATTTGGTATGGCAGCTTACATGGACTAATATAGTTATGAAGCAGGTTTTCTAATTTCTCAAGTGGGATGAAAATATACAAAGATCAGAAACCAAGAAAGTTGATGATTTACCAGCTGTCTAAGTCCACTGTGGTTTTCCTTCGAAAGCAGAAGTAAATCCTATGGGAGAGACTGTCCTTACGCTACTCTCTGAGTGTGAAGTTGAATACAGCTCCTGTTCAGGCTCTGATTTCCTCCACATTTTGGTAGACCACTACCCACTTCTCTTAATCACGCTTGGCGTCTTTCAGTTGTCCAGCATTTTCTTTCAAACACATGGACAAAACGACAACAATGAGAACATTCTAGCGGCTCACAAATCTTAATTTAGAGTGCTGGAATTCTTAGTTGATTAATTTCTCCTGACATGGCCCAGATGTCTCTAGAGTAATTAGTAACAGAACGGGGTTAACAGAGCTCTGCATGGTGATGCAGATTCATTACGACTGATTGCCCATTTATGAAAATGAAGCAACTCTGACAGAGTTCAGACCCAAAAGGATAGCACCAGCTCGATAGATCCTAGACACCCGCATCTCTCCCGATCTTATCTTCATCACATTTAAGAGGCAACCACACACAAGAAAAGGTTGTAATGTATTTTTATGCATTTGCTCCAAGTTATATAGTGCTGATGCTCATAGATCGAAGAGATGCACTCAGAGATAGCTTCAGTCCCTCATGTCCAGGGTCCTGTGAATAACTCTCCCAAGCTCACAGAGAGCTTGCCATGTTCTCTCGTGTACTAGATAACTAAATAAATTAGAGGATGTTGTGAAGTAAGTATTCCGTAGCTAGTCTTTCCTATCCACTGGTCTGCACTCTCTCCCGCTGCTAGTGGATTCTTGCCAGCTCATATCCCTTTGGCAAGAGAAGCCTTCATGGCTCAGGTCAGTCTACTCAGTGCCACCAGTAATTTTGAGGTACAGAGCCTTCAGCTAGCTTTGCTGGCATCTGTGACAAGCCTTCAACTGCTTCCTATTTCTGTTCACTCTACACCATGACCCAGGAAAGTTGTTTTTGTTTGTTTGTTTGTTTTGTTTTAAGACTAGGCCTCAATATGTATCTCTGGCTAGCCTGAAAATTCCTGTGCAGACTAGGCCAGACTCAGATGCAGAGGGACCCACTGGCCTCCGCCTCCCAAGTGCTGGGATCAAAGGCATGTGCTACCACGCCTGTCCTCTGGGAAGATAATTTAAGGGCTCATCCTGTCATAGAACTCAGCTTGCCCCCACAATCTTGCTACTTTCTGAGGAATAAAACACAAATCTTTGCAGGCCACTTCCTGGTGAACCCGGACTCTCTCAGTGGTTTTAATTAAACCTTCAGTGGAGCCATTGAAGTGACCTAAAGCATCTCTACCTCTGAGCCATTTCCAGAGGCTTCTTCCTGGGAACCCATTCCTCACTTCTCCACAAATGTCCTTCTCTCTGTGAAAGTCAACCAGGCTTCAGTCTTCTTCAGGGGCCCCTTGTGAATCTGCACCGAACCACGGCTCTACTCTGGCATTTGTTCGAGCAATACAGCCATCCCTTGGTTTCTGTAGAGGCCTGGCTTTGGACTCTCAGGGCCACCCAAATCCATGCATGCTCATGCCCCTTCTTCAAAATAGCATAGTATTTGCACAGGCTCTGCACACACCCTCCCCCAAACTTCAAATTATCTTCAAATGACATATAATGCCTAATTCAATGCAGATGCTTGGCAAATAACTGTAACCGCTGTTTAAGGGAATGACAAGAAAAAGGTCTGGGCCGATTCAGTACAGACTTTTTAAATAAATATTTTGATCTGTAGTTGGCTGAACCACAGGTATAGAACCTATGGATACAGAGGGCTGTTGGAATGTGCATTCATTAAATTCATACAGAACTGTGTCCACTTTGATAAAAAACAGTGTTCTGTCTACTGAAGCCACGTTGAGCAAGTAAGTACAATACGTTCACGTAGGGGTTTATTTTGCACAATACTGAATTTTTCTTAAGGGGTGTTTGTTGTCCAAGGTTTCAAGGGTATATAACTTTGACTTTGTAGTTTTAATCTTAGAAATACCTCGGGAAAAACCTTAAAAGGACATAGGCAGGCTTCTGCAGAGGCATGCCATCATTTTTCTTTCTTTCTTTCTTTCTTTTTTTTTTTGTACAGTAGAGACTGAGAAGAGTCCCTTGATCTGCACCAAGCAGCCAGTAAAACCACACCGTGGAATAGCTACTAACATGAGGTTCAGCTCAGACGTTGTTATGTGCAAAAAGCATTGTTATGTGATTTTTTGCTAGATACTGGGTCTATGTCTTAGAGGGAAGCCTATTTCCCCTTTGATTCTCTGTGAATTAAAATGCTGGGCTACCAAACTGATGTGTTATTGATGTGTTAAATGGTTCTTGGAGGGACAACAGCCCTTTTATGCCGATAGCACCCAGCTGAGACGGATGGGGACACTGGTATAACACAGCTTGGCAGAAGTCTCTGTTGAAGCTGTACTGTGTAGACAGATGTCCTGCTACTGCAGGAACGGTCACTGATCTGCTGGCAGGTGGGATGCCCAGGTTCCAGCCATGCTTCCCCTGTAGAGTCCTGGTAGCCCTGGAGAAGCCTCTTCCTTTTCTTGACTCTCACCCTGTCTCTAGATGCTATTTGTAAAAGCACAAAACATGATGTATCACACCAGTTGATAGGCGTCTGATTATATTGCATACAATGAAATGCAATTTCATTACTCAGCCAACTCCATAGCTGCGCATACTCACTAACCACACAGAGTGAACATACAAAAACTATTTTAGAGCAGCTCTACTAAGCCTGTGCTTCCTCTAAAGGTGTTTTCCACATACCTTGTTGGCTATTTCATTGCTGTTGCTGTGAGGGTCTCACAAAGCTCAGACTAGCCTCTAAGTTGCTAAGTAGCCAAGGATGATCTTGGCCTCCTGATTGTCCTGCCTCTACTTCCCAAGGGCTGGGATTACAGGTGTGCACCAACACATTTCTTTCTTTTCTCTTTATTTTTTCTTTTCTTTTCTTTTTTCTTTCCTTTCCTTTCCTTTTCTTTCTTTTTTTCTTCCTTCCTTCCTTCTTTCTTTCAAGGGAACTTACAGCAAATGAATGAAATCAGTTTTAATTGCATAAATATTCCATACTTTAGATCAATATTTACAAACATTTCAAGCCTTGACAGACTCATTACGAAAGGAACAAAGCACTTTCCTCCGCCCGTGTAAACACTTTGACATTGATTCTGATTCACCCAGATGGGCGATAATAATCTTGAATCGGTCACATATACAGTGTACAGATTTACAGATACAAATATGACAGATAACACTGAAGGCTCTTGGCATATGGCTGGCAATTGCGTATCAGATGCTTCTGGACACAGAAACATAAACCCAGGTCATGACCTCATGTACCAACACACACATACAAATAACCCAAACACTCTGTGGGGTCATCTTCTCAGAGATGTCTATTCAGGCCACAGATAAAAAGAATGAGAGAGGAAAACGCTGTCCCGTGAAGGGAGGGAGGGGCTGCGTGCCTCACGAGACGTTGGACTTACCTGCTAAGTGGTTGGCAATCCGGGCAGTGGGTTTAGGAGGCAGGGCCGGGGGCTGCTTGAGAAGGGACAGCTGCTTCACTGGGGTCTCCTCATGGTCTCCAGAGAAAGCAGCAGGTTTTTTGGGGGGCAGGAACAGAACTGGTTTGGCTGAAGGATCTTGGGACAGGAGGACTCCAGACTCACTGGCACAGGGACTCTCTTCAGACACTGAGGGGACAACCACATGATACACAGGAGACATTACACGAACGTAGTGCAGGCCAGCCAGGAACACAGGACAGGGACACTGGCAGGCCAACAAGACAGCAGGGGCCACCTGCTGCAGGCCACCATGGGTACACGGAGAGCTAAAGCAAGGACAAGAGAAATCCAAGAAAGCAGGTGGGGTGTGGAGGGCCAGAAAGGGGAGGCAGGGGAAGACGGAGGAGAGAGGAAGAGGGAGCAAGGGCGGAACGGCAAGGGAATTTCCTTATGAAAAAGGTTATCACTTCAAACTGAGCCTGTATCATCCAAAGAATACAGATGCTCCACCACATGGCTCAGGAGACCACAGGCACAACTACAGGATGATGAGTAGAACAAGGATTCCAAGTCCCCTAAACTGAACAAGAAGAGCTGGCACTTTTCTTTAAGTCTCTGAGCTCTTCCTTTGCTGAGGGGAGAGACAGACCACAAACTGGTAGAGAATATTAGTGTTGTCCTTTGGGTCTTCCTCTCAGGTCTGGGATTACCAGTGGCGGCTGACAAGGTTGACACTGGCAGGCTTTGGTGGCTGCTCCTCCAAGCTCCGAAATGGTCAGGTCTGAGAGCCAGGCTCTCAATGAGGACTCCCCCCTCCTCTGAGAACACACTCTTGCCCTGCCTGGCCCTATACATTTTCCCAAGACAGAGGACGTTCAAAGGTGACACCTTTTCATCTGTCTGGTTCCTTTACTTCCTGCTTGACAGACTTCTTGTCTTCTTAATTTTTCCCCTTCCTTTCCTTCCCTAGTCCTCTCTCCAGGGTCTCATACATTCTAGGCTGGTTCTAAACTCACTAGGACTTGGAGGGTGACCTTGGACTTTCCAGTTCTCCTGTTTCTACCTCCTGAGTGCTGGGATTCCAAGGTATGTGCCATCTTGCCGTGGAACTAAATACATGGTACTAGGGATTGAACCCAGGACATGGTGCATGCTAGGCAAGCACTGTGGCAACCGAGTAGCATCTTGATTCCCATTGCCTTATTTCAACTCCCCCTCCATCTTTTCATTTGGGCCTGATTCTTCTTTGATTGAGTTGCTATGGGTTGGTAGCCTTCTGCTTCCTACTGTGCTGGCAACTTGGGAAATAATGGTAAAACTCTGTGACCCCGATGGAGTGGCAGAGTTCTCTAAAATAGTCTAACTTCCAGATTCCAGTGGCACAAGGGAAGTTGGACGGAACAAGGGGAGTTGGGTTGAAAATTAAAACTTCGGTGTTCTTGCTTAAAATTCTAAAGGACAAAATACAGCCCAACTGTCTGTCCTCCTACTTCCCATGACTGTCACAGGAGGCAGTTTATGAAGGATTCCTCTCCTTTCTTACCTTCCTTCTCCCCTGGAGGAAGTAATATCTTCACAGCATCACAACCCCGCAAAGAATCCCCGACACCCTGGGTTTTCCCCACCTCAAGGGGCATTGCCCTAGTCAGTGCCGAGCCATAGCTGGCCGGGTTCCACAGTGAAGCATGGGGACCAACTGGAAAAGCAGTCTCTCTCCCTCTCAACATGAGCAAAGTGTGCACGTAGGTGCTGGACACAGGGGCGCCAGGACGCTGGCCTTTCCAGGTACTCCCGGAGGCTCCTTGGTCAGCCCATCTCCTGGTATGTGCTGACTCCGCCCCATTTGTAGGGATGTATCTTTGGGCTGATTAGGAGGACTCGGCACCCCCCCCCCCAAGAGAAGCAAACTGGCCACTTGGGTGACAGGGACCAAAGAGGGAGGCAATAATCAGAAGGCATAAAAACTCATCTACAGGTGGGCTCTCACTTAGCTGGGAAAATCTATGCAATGTAACAAACACGTAGATTGGTTGTATCAGTAGATTTACTAAACTGATAAAATCATTGACTGGGTGTATTGGCACTGGAAATTAAATGGTGTGGCTAGGTCTTCGGAGCAGGTGGAGTAGACAGGAATGGGATTTAGAGAAGAATGGGATTCTTTTGATTTATCTTAACAAAGATGAATGTTAGAAAACAAACAATATTTTAAACTGTCACTATTATAAAAAACTTCAAAGTGAGGTGAGTCACAAAAGTGTGTTTACAAACTATAAAACATCCTGCGAGATGTTTTCTTAGATTCAGTTACATACAGATAATTATGAGGCAAGTTTCCTCCACATTTCCAGGTCTTCATGCTCTGGATGGTTAGAATGGGCATCCTCAGCCCTGCCATGAGACTGGGACACTCTGGAGACCCACCCCTGGCCTCTGCCAGTCATTACCTGGTCCATCCATGATGTCTGAAGCTTGGAGCACCTCGTACGAGCAGGGGTCCCTGGGCATCGGGACAGGCTCCATTTCCGACAGAGCAGGCAAAGACAGTTGGCTGGAGCTCAGGGATTGCCCGTTTTCCAGGGAGTCATCTTCATTGGAGATGGAGAGCTCTCCATCTGTGGGAGAGAAGGAGAAGGAAGCACCAGATGAAGTCTGTCCTCACCACGACACTCAAGGCTGCTAACCAGTTCGGATGCTCTGAGCCATCTTTATCGACACCTGATACTGACTCTTTGCTTTTAAAACATGTACCTTTATAGAAAGAGCCCAACTAAGCTTCTGGAAAGTACCTTCCAGCCAACCACGGCAACTTGTCTGTTTTCTCTCCATCCTTTCCATCACCGTCCATCTTGTGTTCTATGTGTATAATTTTTTTTCCTTCTAAAAGACTTACTGAATTTTCAATTATGTGTAGTAGTTGTATCTATGTGTGGATGTGTGCACATGAATATAGGTGCCCTATGAGGCCAGAACAAGATATCATGACATGACATGTTCTTCTCTGTGGGCAGGACTCATCTTTGGGCCTACTAGGATTGCTCTGCATTTCCCAAGGGAGGTGCATTGGCTGCTTGGGTGACAATGGATCAAAGATGAAGGCACTCTAGAAGGCGGCACTGGAGATGTACTAAGAGGCTGCTGTGAGCCTCCCAGTGTAGGTGCTGAGAACTGAACTCAAATTCTCTGCAAGGACATTATGAGCTCTTACCACCAAGCATCTCTCTAGCCCTTACTTTTTTTTTTTTCTTAATAAAAGCTCATGAAAATAATTTTTGCCTTTTGATCTTTAAAAGGCATAGAAACTTAGCAGGTGACGGAGACTGGAGAGTCAAAATTAAGAATTTTTTTTACATTAGGGAGCAAATATTAAAAAGGCTGTGGGTGGCTCTCCACAAACCGACAACAAGGCCCTATTGCTGAAGACACCCTCTTCACAACTCATTGCACATGGAGAAGTCAAGCTCGTGCCTACCTATAGTCTTTACTGGCTAGTATTCATGGCATTGGAAGGTTTTCTGCACTCCACCAAAGAAGAAAGGCGAACCCACCAAAGGCGAACCAACCCAGCTACAAAACCTTCAATCGATAATGGTGACCTGCCTGCAAAATATGATGATGCAGTAGCAGCCCAAAGCTTTTGGGAGTAACCAATCAATATCTGGTTTGAGTTAGGGCCCGCCCCATGAATTGAAACCCATACCCAATGCTGCTTGGGTGGCCCAGAGCTTACGGCTAGATAGGACAGCAGTCTGGGGGAAAACTAGCTACTGTTATTCTTTGGCTAAGGTATGTAGCACTAAAACGACTTGTAAAGACATTTTGCAGGGCCTTGCTCAGCCACCATCAGAGAAGCTTCTTCCTGCAGCAAGTGGGAAGAAATATGGAGATGCACAGCCAGGCAACATGCAGAGAGAGATCTTTGAATACTCAGACCTAAAGGATGCTTCCATCAAATCCTTCTCCTCAGGGCTCAGTGAACACTTTGGAAGAGGAGACATAAAGAGCATAGGAGTCAGTGGGGATGGAAGACACCAGAAAATCAAGGGTTTCTGAATACAAAAGGACTGACATGTATTTGAACACATAGAAACCAAGGTAGCTTGGATGGAGCCTATATAGCTGTGCACCAGAGGGGGTCCTAGACCTGAAAGGAGAAGTGGACACATGCCCCCATCCCTAACATGGAAACAATCTCCAAATCTCCAATTGGTAACCATTTGCAAAGGAAAAATTAAATTTTGTCCAAGGGAGTCTCACAGGAGGAAACCAACCACTCTTAAGGTCTGGTGCCCAGTAGTAGAGCTAGCACAAAATGAACTCAATGGTATCTTTGGAGGTTCTTTGCCTCACAACGCGAAGTGGGGGCATTTTCCTCTCCTGTGGGTCCTTTGCATATATTTTATGGCTTACGGTTTGGGATTTTTAGTGGGTTTGTTTCAAAGCTGTGCAAAAGTGTATGTCTCTGTGTCTATGTGCATTTCTTGTATTCCCCCTCCCCCCCATTTGGCTCTCTTTATTGTTTGGTTGTTTGTCATATTCCATTTATTGTTTTCAATTTATTTTATTTTATTATTATTTGTTAGATACTCAGCGATATTTTCTAATGAGAGACAGAATGTTGATCTTGGAAGAAGAGGTAGGGAGGAACTGAGAGCGGTAGGGAGAGGAAAAAACCACAATCAGAATATATTGTGTGAAAAAAAATCTATATGCAATGAATGAAGAAGAAGAAGAAGAAGAAGAACAAAACAAACAAACAAACAAGTCTTAGGGAGCAAAGAGGCAGTGTGAACACGCAACTCCAGGTCCCAGGAAAAAGCTCATCTGTGTGTTTACCTCATCCAGTTCTTGGGGTGAGTAAGCATTTAGAAAAATGTAAAATCTCTACCTAACAAGCGACGGCAGCCCCAAACAGCTGGGAAGTGTCAGAATTCTTTTGGTGCCAACCACCAACCATGTCAACTTTGATCTGCTTGAAGCTCAGTCCCCCAAAGGGCTGAGGGCTGATTGAGGATCAAAGACTCCCGTTCAATGGCCATTTGTTAAATCCAAACTCCCTGCAGCATGATTTCATCTTCACCCAGGGAGTCTTAGATAGCTGAACGTTAAAGGCAAATTAATTTTTCAAGAGGACTTAAAGCTCTTTCAGTCAGATGAATAAACATCCAGATGAAAGAGAGAGAGAGAGAGAGAGAGAGAGAGAGAGAGAGTAAGAAACAGAGCCCTGCAAAGCTATAGCCGGACTTATAATGAGAGAGAGAGAGAGAGAGAGAGAGAGAGAGAGGGTGTAGAAATAAAAGTGAGTTGAATCTGAGGTTAATCTTCCCTTTTACTATATTCCCATCTATGTTTTGATTTTATACATCTATGATATCTAATAGCACTGAAATCCTTTAGGCCACCCCATTAGAAATGCCTTCAACAAAATGTATGTTTGCTAGAGTAATTTATGAAACCAACAGACTGTAAGCAGTACATGGTTCAAGGACCTATAGTGTTTGACCTGGATCTTCTATAAACATTAAAAAAAACCTAACAACGCATTGAAGTTGACAGTCACAGATAGTGCTGGCTTTTGAAGGGAAGGCTGGATCTCTTCTTTCCATTCAACACTTCTACACACCCTAAACAGTAGTAGATGTTGTTGTCATGGAGACGAAAGCCATGATTACTGCTTCTTAATAAGAACACAAGAGCAGGGCAGGAACTTACAGCCAAATGCTATGGAGATTGCACAGCTGAGCTGCAAATCTGCAGGATGGGGAGAGCTGTGCTGTGTTAAGGTGACCTTACAGTAGTCCGGTCTTCCCAACATGCTTTTTATTTATCATGTTCAAACTGATATCATGGGAAGTGGCTCTGTTGAAAGTCCCCAGTCAGCAGGAGGATGACACAGCTGTCATTCAGTTGGGAACATCTTCAGGAGGCCACTCTGATTCTTGATGTTCCAAGCATATTCCTGGCCCTACAGAAGACAACCTGAAAAGGAGAGGCTTTAAATGCCATCGCAGGTTTTGTTTTTTGTGGATTACTGATGCTGTTGGATGATGGCTGCCTGATTTAAGAGTTGAAAGTACCACACGAGTAACTCTGGGACAAAAGATGCAGCTGCAGCTGGATTTGTCTGGAGGACTCTGTGACTCTGGTTTTCATTAAGGAAGCCAATGTACAGTCATGCAAGTCCCATGCTACTTTGCAGAGGGATCAGTCTTGGGGATTTCGTTGTTGTGACTCACAAATGCACGTTTTCATTAAAAAAAACATGGACAAAAAAAAAAAAACATGGACAAAGATATTAGAAGATGTTGATGACCCCTCCACCTACCTAACGGAAGCAGCTTCCTCTTTCTGTGGATATTTTTCATGGCTGAAATCTTACTAAGCTTCGAAATTGTGTGTGCTGTGGCTGGAGAGATGGCTCAGTGGCTATGAGCACTGGTTGTTATTCCAGAGGAGTCAGGCTCAGTTCCCAGCACCCATGTGGTGGCTAACTATGTTCTGTAACTCCAGCTGTAGGAGTTCTAGCTCCCTCTTCTGGCGTCCGTGGGCGCTGCATGCATATGACAGACACATCCAGGCAAAACACCAACACACATAATTAAAAACTTTAAAAAATATCTACTTTTATCTTACCATTACGATCTCAATTACAATTCTCTTAGCAATTACACTCCATGTTTACCTAGTTCTCTCCCTCACATCCCTACCAAGCACTAAAAATTCCCAGCTAACTACTTAGCTTGAGGGTAGCATAGTATATGATGCCGTCTGCGCTGTTTCCACTGAAGGATGTGTTAGAAAATGTAATAATGAAGATACTTAAATCACAAAGGTGTTTACAATGTTTTATGCCACTAGGAATGCAAAGTTGAGAAGACCATGTTACATAGGATTTTTCGATAATTAGAATTCTAATGTCTACTGACACACAAGTGGTTCTTGTGAAGTTATCTAAAGGCTTTTCCATTTTACAGTTAACTGCAATTTGTAGACAACTTACATCTCAGTTTCTAGGAAGGTCTTCAGTATTAACAATGCTAACTATGTTTATCTACAGAGCTGCCTAGCTATTGATACTCCATACTCCTGTCTACCTACTTATCTATCCAGCTATCCACCCAACATTCATCCCTATTTCTATCCATCCATCCATCCATCCATACATCCACCCACTCATTGGCATATTTACTTACATATATATTAGAAGCAAAAACTATTAAATAGATAGGATAAAACCAAAATCTTAATTATGACCAAGGTGAGTAGTTACAAAAGTGAGAATCATTTTATTTGTACACTCATGCCGCTTGAGGAAGTGACTATGGTAAAAACACACAGTATGCATGCATGAGATTTTCAAACAATAAATAACAAACATACATTAAAAATCACGTTGCTCTATCTTAAAGAAAGACTTAAATATTCATATTATTACATTTATAACACCCACTAAAGTGGAAACAGTGCAGCCATCATCAGATACTATGGTACCTCCAAGTCAAGCATTTAGCTGGGAACTTTCAGTGCTTGGTAGGGATATGAGGGCAATCTGGCTGTGACATCTCTACCTCCATTGATCACCTAGGTTGAGAAAGCTGATCTGGTTGACTGGGCG